AGCCAGGAGGCTGGTAGTGTGGCCAGAGTGAGGGAATGAGTTGGAGAATGAAAGTAGAAAGGGAACCACAGACTCCGTGGGCAGGATCCCGGAAAGAGATTTGGGGAGGACTTTGGATTTTATTCAAGTGTGAGGAGAAGTCATCGGGGAGTTCTGAGAAGGGAAGTGGTAGGATTTGATTTCAAAAGAAAGGCTACTCTCATAGAATGTAAATTCAGCCGCCAGTTTTCTGGAGTGTGTCTAACCCTAGTGTAAACTGAGTGCAGTCTTGTATTACTGGATCTGATTGAGATGAATTTTTAACATCTCAGCAATTGAAAATGCAACTTCTATTTCCATTCTTTGTCTTATCTTTTCTTCATATATATATTTTTTCATATATATATATTTTAAAAGGTCTTGTGAAGATATACTACTTTCTAAGGTAAGATGTTGCCATTTTTGTTAAATTTGTGCCATTTTGTTAAATTTTTGCCATTTTTTCATCTCCTTTTATAGTGCAACTTTTGGATAGATATGTGATCGATCTACCCTTTCTTCTTTTTTGTCTACTTCCTTCTTGCCTCACTCCCTTCCTTCCTTTTTTTAAACAAAATTAATGTCTCATGAGACACCTAGATTTCCTGTGTGCCAAAGCTAATACAAGCTGATATTTGGGTAGTATTTGCTTGCTGTTGTTGTTTTCTTTCTTTGTAAAAAGATTATCTTTGGAATAGTGAATAATATTCACAGATGGTGGAATACAGAAACTTTCAATTCTGTTTTCTTTGCACTTACCTTGTTTGAGACAAATGCTTCTGATTTACGGATTCCATGTTGTGAAAGTGAAAGTGTCTGCGAGTGTGCATTGAAATTAAGCAACGATTTAAATTGAGATAAAAATGTCCTTTGAATCTGTCACCCTGCAGACCATATGTATTTTGTGGCTACCCTGTTTTCTCAGTTACTTCAAGGTGGGCCAAGACCCAAGCCCACAATGACCTGTGGCCGCTCGTATAGGAGTAGCCAGTGTACCCACTCAGTTACCTCGAGCATTATTTGTGGGCAGCCTGGGATTCCTGCCCCAACAGTTTAATGACGCTCACATTTGTGCTCGGGAAATATATATCAAAGCCACAAGAGGGCAGCTTGTCCAGGGGGCCTCAAGGTAAAAAGTGCTGTTCTTTACACATAGGATAATGAGGGCCAAGAATAAATTTTTCAAAATGTTTCTTGCATAAAGAAGCTTTTTTACATTCCTAGCTAAATGTGATTTTCCCTTCTAAGAGATAATGGTTTTGGATGTTAAGTTTTAAGGCAAGTTCTTTCTCAAGTCTATTTTTCCTTTCTCCTTGGAATGTAAATATCCATTTCCCTTTGAATTTCCCTTTGTCCTGTCTTCCAGCATTTCTAGCTTTATTCAGTCTTTATTGAAGCATAATTTACATAACAAAATTCATACTTTTTTTAACGTCATTACCAAATCTAACAAAAATTTACACTTTTTTTTAATGTTATATGGAACACATATAACCATGGAACCAACTGCATCCACCTCTTTAGAACTTCTCTTGTCCCCCTTGGCAGTCAATCTCATTTTATAGGTTCCGCATCCACTTTTCATTCTTTGAAGAATTTTTACTGCAGGCAAAGCATTTTATAAATTTAAAGTAATGGTCATGCACAAAAATAAAGACCCTTTCTAAGAGGCTATGAGAGCTCCGGAGAGATCAGAGGGAGTCCTTTCCAAGACAATTATATACATTTTTTACTCTTTGTGGTTCTGGTTGTTATTTTAATTTGCTCATATTCACTGAGAGGGAGAACTGTTGTTAATTATACATTCATTAACCCATTTGTTCTTCAACGTTGATTTCTGCTTTAGTAATAGCTAACATTTATTGAGCTCGAGTACTTGCATTAATGAACTTAAGGAATTCTCCCAGTGAGGGAAACGCCATTGTTAACTATATTTACAGATGAGGAAACTGAGGTAGAGCAACATGTGGCTTTGACTGATAAAAGAGTAAGTAGCTGGTTTCCTCATATGAACTGTAAGATATGTGAGATGGACGGGTTCTTAAGAAATGCCTGGTCTCACTGATCAAAGTAGCAACTGGCTTAAAAAACCAGTGCTTCTCTTGGGCAGTGTCACCTGTGACTTTGGCAGAGCATTACAAGTCCAATTCTGCATCCCTGACCTTGGCCATCAAGCACTCCTAACTGTGTTTCCCTGGTTCTGCCTTCATCTTCTCCTGATGGGTCACCCTGACTTTAGCCCTTTCTGTGTTGAGCTCAGAGTGATCTTTCTAACATGAAGTTCTGATAATGTCATTTGTTGGTTAAAATTCTCCAGTGAGTCCCTGTGTGATAAAAATGTGAGCTCCCACTCGGTCCCTTGCCTGTCAGCTGCACACCTGTTGCTCTGCACAGCCCACCCTCAGTCCAACTAGTTGTCATTCTCCAAAGATGGGTGCTCTCCCACATCCCTGCACCCAGGGACTGGCTGTTCTTTCTTTCTAGAATATGCCTACTCATTCGTCATCCCTGTCTGCCGGGCGAAGTGTAACTCATCCTTTAGGACTTGACTCACATCTTCCTTGATGAACTTGACAGACTTGGAATCATCACTCTTTCTACTCATTGCCCTTTGTGTACTATTGCCAGTGTCACATTGTTTTATAATGGTCTCATTTCACCTCAGTGCCCCATTAATCTGTACCCTCCTGGAGGCAACAACTTTGTCTTTTCAACTTGGATTTGTAGCCTAGCTAAGTATCTGGGTGTACTGCCAGACTTTTGCACACCATCAAGAGGTGAACTTACCTGTTTTATTCACTACTGCCATCACTAGTGTCTGGTATAGGATTTGGCTTGACTAAAGTGTTCAATTTATACTTGTTGAAAGCAGGAATAGTGGGTATTTTTAAATGTCAAATTGCAGTGTTTAACCAAAGGATTTCAAACTGAAGGGTTATTGGCATAGCCAATCTATGAACATATTTTGTATGGCCTCATAGTGTTTCAAAGTTTGTGAATATGGTACCTAGCTACAACACACCTTCTCTTGTTTGCCATTGTCTGCATCACTCCTACTACCTTGAAGTTGGTTTATTTCACTCACTTGTTATTTGCTTCCTCTTAACACTTAAGTTCAGAGAGTGCCAGGAGTCAGGCAGTGTATTAGTTTGCTAGAGCTGCTATAACAAAATATCACAGATTGTGTGGTTTAAACACACAGCAATTTTTTTCTTATACTTTTGGAGGCTAGAAGTCCAAGTTCAAGGTGTCAGCAGATTTGGTTCCTTCTGAAGCTCCTATCTTTGGCTTACAAACCACCTTCTCATGGTGTCCTCACATAATTGTCTTTGAGTCTGTGCATGTCCATATGTCTGTGTATGTCCTAGTCTCCTTTTATAAAGACACCAATCCATTTGACCTCATTTAACTTAATTACCTTCATAAAGGACCTATTTCCAAGTATAGTCAATTCTGATAGACTAGGGGTCTGGATTTCAAAATATAAATTTGGGTGGGGGATATCATTCATTCCATAACAGGCAGGGACACAAACTCTTAAATACTATGGTCACTGCCTTGTGTCTGATGCAGATTTCATAACATGCTAAGGAAGGAGAATCTAGGAACTGTCACAGAGAACAGTTTACTCACCAAAGCAGAATCTGGAAGGACATCACATGCACCTGCTCAAATACCTCATCTCTGATCACTTTTATGTTGGGACCACATTCATTGCAGTTAGTTAAAACACCAGTTAGAAGTTAGGTGGTTTTCAATATGGAAATATATACTCTTTAAGCCTTCTCACTCTCCAAATTGACAAGCAGGCTGCAAACTTTTCTTGCCAAGGGATTGGAGGACAGTGGAGGTAAAAGCCGTGTAACGACATGGCACCACCTCCGTTTGCTGTAAGCAAACAGCTAGGTCCTTTATTACCCTTGAAACTGGCACTCGTGACACAGGTTGGAGTCAGGGAAGCAAGTCAAATGCCAAGTTTCTGTGGGTCAAAGTTCCTTTAAGCACCGTATGTTAATCAAAAGCTCAAGCTTAGTTAATTAGGCCATTGGGTTGAGGGAACTTTGGAACAAACAATCACTGAGTTGGACTGCAGGAGTTAGCAAAAATTAGTATTTTCTTTCCTGAAGGTAGGCTGTGGACTCATGGTGTTTCTTGGGGCGGGGGGGGGGGGGAGCCAGCTTCTTGTCATGGTTATATTCATTCTGGGCGGAATAGGCGTACAATAAAATTAGGCATATAGAACCTACCTGATCAAATGTTTTCACTTTAAGATGAAGCCAAGTAGTTGTGGAATATTAATTACATATGGGCAGAAAAATCAGCTGGAAAGGGCTTCCTTTAAAGGTAAAGGAGTATTTAAAACACTGACAGCTTGCAATGCTTTAAATAATCTTGAGTGTTAGGCAGTTTACCCTAAAAGACCACAGGTAATGTGCCCCTGCAGAAAGAAATTTATGAATGTAAAAATCATAGCTACCCTTCATTGAGTGTTTTCTCTCCCTGGGCTTCATAGCTTATTTATTGTCCCGATGGCCTTCACAGGTGGGTAATGTCCAGCCCATATTAGATGAGACAAAGAGTAGACTCAGAGAAGTTGAGTAAAATGCTCAAGATCAGTCAGCTCGCAACACAAATGTACATGCCCCCCCTTCCCTGATACCCCACCTCTTTACTCATTTCCCCTTATCTCCTTGTCGGAGTAGGATTTTCTTCCTTGAATGTCCTTCGGCTGACATGAACCTGCATAACCTTGTGGAACTGGCAAAAAGATGTGTCCTATTTTCCCCATGTATGTGTGCCAGTGGAAATTTCCTATACCGTCCGGTTCTGTAGCTTTACTTGTCAGGCACGCACACATAGGGGTGTGTGATAATAAAGCCCCGTGTTTCTTCTCCCCTCCTCCCCCTTCTGTTTAGTGGTCGCTAACTGCAAACTCCCTATTCGCTGTCTCTTGATCAATAGTGTTATCTTTTTCATTTCAGAGTTCAGGTAACCAGAAGCATTGGAAGGACACCTTGCATCAGTCACCCCACAGAGATCAGCCATTCCTGGGCTCCCTGAGGAGGTTTGGTAAGTCAAACTGGCTTTGTCTTCACTATGGCTCAAACTGACGTTAATCCAGGGTGGAGAAAAGTAGGCGAGCATTACTACATAGTGACATCCAAATGCTTTATTATTATTTTTTTTAAACCAAGTGGTTAAACCACTGGTTTGACTTCTAGGTGTCTGCATAATTGAGTCAGTCAGAGTGCCCTGGATGTTTGCAGGCATGAATGGCCCCAGAGGACTCCCTCAATCCAAGGCTGGGCACCTTAAATTATGCATTGTATGTCAATTATATCTCTGCAAACTGGGCGGAAAAAAGGAATGACAAAAGCTATATTTGGATGACTTTGCTTAAGCTCCTTAAGTACTGAGTTTTTCCTGTAGTGCTGGTATCCAGAACAGTCCATGTGAGATCACAGAGTTGCCTCCTAGGCAGAGTTAGACACTCTTACCCAAAGCCAACAGTCAGCATTGTACGCATTTACAACTAAAATTCTCCATACTATGCTCCCAGAATTATTTGCTAGCATCCCTTTATCTGTGAATGAGTCCAAATCCACATTCATGTCAAATGTGTGGGAAAATACATCTTTACTGAGTTAATGCTACAGATGGGCCTGATTCCCCAAGTCCCATGATTCTGGTTTATATTGTCCTTAAGATTTTTTGGATGAGAGTACATTAATCCTGAACCTGTTGGGATACAGGTAAATCAATTAACAAATATTTTCTGAGCACTGTCTGGGTGTTAGGCTCTGTGTTAGGGACTGGGCAATTAAGGGATTAAGACAGAAGGGATTAAATTTCTGCCCCCCAGGAAGCTGATCTAATATTCAAGGCAGACATTACAAAATAAGAACAATGAGTGGACTGAAGGGGGTTAGCATATAGTTTAATTTGATTCAAATTAATAAACCTACAAAGGGACCCCTATGTGAAAGACTGGGCCAGGAACATGAGGGATACAAAGATGATGTAGACATGATCCTTGCCCCAGAAGAATGGAAGTTTAAGTACTTAATTAAGAAGAAATAGTAACAATAAAACAAATGTAAATTAGAATAAGCAGCATCACAACCCAAATATTTAACAGCACTTTTGAAAATGCAGTAGAATTCAATGGATCTTTTATCTATAATCCAGATTTACCTAGGAGTAAATTTATCACTCTCAACCCTGGACGTCTAGCTCTTCTTTTCTTTTGTCTGATCTCTGATCCAGCCCAACATCAGTGCTAATTCAGATATAGAACTTGCTGGTTTTGAGAATTTAGGCAAAAGTAACCCTGAAATCCTTTGTAGTTTTAATGCTCAATGTGTAATTACCGCAATGACGTAAAGCTGAAGAAGTTTCCAAGACTTGGTATCAGAGAAACTGGGCTCACCTCTCATTTAGCCTGTGTGGATAGTCACCTAATGACTTCATAACAAGGCAATCCTGTAACTGAGATGATGCTGTGGTATGTTTTGGGGTCCAGTTGAACCTATGTTTGAAAAAAAATGGTTTTCATAAGGAAAACTGGTCTTTGCAGGGAGTTTATAGCTAGTCCCAAACTGGATGATTTCCCCTTTCAGAAATATTTCATTCACATGAGCAAAAGTTTCATAGGACCAACAGTTTCTTTGGCAACAGCTCTCCAAGACTTGCTCTTTGACAAATAAAAAACACATTTTCAAGACTAAAAAGGAAGAGAGAGGGATTTGGGCCATGACTCAATAATAAGATGGGGGACAAGTGGATATGTGTCCACAAAAGGAGGACCATGTTCCCAAATGGAGGAGGTTTGTTCCCACCATAGACAAGGAAAAAGAAAGTTGTGGGCATCTACAAAACATGTATCTTTTGGCAGAATAACAGATCAACAGTGGCATTACACTTTGCAGCAGGGTATTTGTTGCTGTGGAAAGCAAGACTACTCCAAGTTTATAAGGCTGAAATCTGTGGCTAATGTCAGCACGAAACCTTTAGGCAAATTTCATGGGTGAGTGACACGCAAATGTCAACCCTGAAGTTTCCAAGAACAAGGTCTTTAGTCATTGGACATGCATCAAAATCAAGGCCTCATCCCAGGCTAGACATCAGTTCAAGCAGGTTGTCCCCAGGTGTTGCTGCAGCAAAGGCAGGTCGAAATAGAATATCTGACTTTCACTTAGGCCAGACTCATGGGCCTCTATGCAGCCAAGCAAGAGCAGAACAGAGCAGCCAGATGAAGAATGACAAAAATTCTGTGTCTGCAAACTAAGTGAGGACCTTTCAAAACTAAGACAATGTCAGCAAAATATAAGGGGCAGCTTTAGCAAAGAATGAAGTGGTTATTAAGTCAGGCTGGGATAAAAGGAGGTAGAATTCAAACCAGCGCTTTAAATCTAGGTACGTCAGAGCTTAGTGAATTTTGTTTATCTCCAAGGACTTCTCAGAATCGTAAAATAAGAAATTCTAGTTGTGATGATGACGATGATGATAATGATAATCAGCATTTCTTGAACTCTTTCATCTGCCAAGCACAAAAGAAGTCTTTTACTCGCAATACTTGTATGGCCTCATTTAATTTCTAGAATAATTCCATAGGAAGATGTTAAGATTCCCTGTTTGGTAAATAAAGAGACTGAGATTTTAGAAGAGAATATATAACTTGCACAAAGTCACACAGTTATTGCCTGGCAAAGTTGACACACTCAGCTAGTTAAGTCTGAGGCTAGAGTTTGCACTTTGTAACTAGTAGCCCCAGGGGACCAACGACACCTCAGAAAAAGGCATGTTTATTGGCCAGGGTTCTCTGACTGCCCATAGTCCTAGAATGTTCTAAGGTATGTTTAGCAAAAATGACAAAAGGGTATATTGAAAATGACAGATCCTGCATTCTAATGTAGAAGCAATTGGCCCCTCGGTAACACAGGTTTGAAGTGTGCAGGTCTACCTACTTGCAGATTTTTTCCAATAAACAAGTAAATGTATTTTCTCTTCCTTCTAATTTTTGTAAATAACATTTTCTTTTCTCTCACTTTTTTTTATAAAACAGTATGTAATACACATATGTGATCTATAACATAGAAATTATGTGTTAATCCACTTTGTTATCTGTAAGGCTTCCTGTCCAATTAGGTTGTTAGCACTTGAGTCTTTTGGCAAATCAAAAGTTAGTGGTATTCCTGGGAGGTCACTGCCCCAAACCCCCAAGTTCTTCAGGGGTCAACTGCAGCGTAGTATGCAGATTCTTTTTCTTTTTTTTCCTTTTTTTAAAAGATTTATTTATTTATTTACACAAGAACCAGGGTACAGGCCAGATGCACGGGAGGATAAGAGGATTCACCAGAGACAGAGTGGGGAACAGAACAGGCAGACTGATGAAATACACTGCTGAGGGGAGCAGCGGGCGTGACAGGAGAGGTCTGCCACGCCATGTGGGACCCTCGCTGGCCAGCTGGGATTGAACTGGCACTGCAGAGGCTGCGGACAGCTTCCCAGCACTGAGCTCAACCACCTGCGCCCCCAGGGGAGGCCCTTCTTTCTTTCTTTTTTAAAATAATATGCAAACTGTGTCCTGATGGGTTCCTTGTTGCCCTTCTGTCCCCCATACTAAAGAACTGGCCTCAACCCTTAACCAAGGTGACAGACGAGCATAGTTGGTCATGTCTGGACCCATCCTGTTCCAGTGTGCCTTGAACTGTTGTTTCTCTTGGGTATATGCTTTTGCTTTAGCTTTCAGTCATTTGGCGAACTTTAAAAAAAAAAATGAGTGCACACGCCTCACTCATTGAGTGGACAAATTGCTGGTTTAGACTTTTGCTTATTAACCTGGTAAATAACTATATTTCTCATTCCTTTCAAACAGCACAACTTGTGCTCTCTAGCATCAGTTTCCATTTTTGTGATGGATTGGTACTTAAACACCTTTGGCTCACAGGCAGATGCTGTCACTACTTGGTCCAATTCTATCTAAGAATGGATCTCCTGTTTACATTGCTACAGTGTGTATCCCAGGAGCCACAGCTAACACATCCTGCCTACAACAGCACTCATAACATACAGCCTAGTCACTTAAGGCTGAGAATCTCATCGATTACAGTGAACTGTATAATCTTGGTATGGTTTACAGATGAGGAACACTTTTGTGTCATGAAAACCCCTGCTATTACTATGTGATATTCATTTAAAATATGCCACAGATAATCATATGCATACATTTCAGTTCCGTTTTAAGTCATGGTCTCAAAGTCTCACCTGGGTAGTGTCTAGACAGGATGCGATGTGACGGATGAATTGTTTAATAAAACCAATTTGATCTCTTAAAAAACTACAGCAAAAATCAAAATGTACCTGATTCTCAAACACCAATAAGAAGAGGTTATTGTCTGAAGGGCTGAGAGAGAGGAGGCCCATAGAGATGGCCAGGCCTGGAGCTCAGATTCCATGATGTTCGTGGTCATTCTGTTTCATCCCGCTACCTCACTGAAAAATTTCTTTTGAAGCTTTTCCTCTTCACTTACACTGGCACCTTCCCAGTCCTAGTCATGACATTATCCCTGAATTATTACAGTCATCATGGAAAGGAAAGCAAACCAACGTGGATGAAACTACATCAAATGACCAACAGTAGTTGAAATTGACTGGTAGAGGTCTGATCTGTAATTGTATACCTACTTTTCTGGGCTTTATATATTTTCTTTTATAAACAAGTATTACTTTCCAAAATGAAAACCAGAAGCCATTGTTGGACTAGCCCTTGGTCTTACTGTTTGTATATGTTTTGCCACCCATTCTGTGCCGCCCATTCAGATTTGCCTTCCTAAAACTAAAAAACTTCCTAAAAGGTGTTCTGTCATTATCCTTAAACATTCAGGAGCTCCAATTGCTGTTGAGAAAAGTTCAAACTCTTGAAATCCAAAGGTCTCCTTAATCCACCCCACCCTTCCTCCTGTGCTCTTATCTCCTGCCATACCCAGCACAAAGGCCCCCCAACCCCAGAACCAGAGCTCTCTCCAGTTCTTTTGCTCCTGCTTTCTCTCCATGAGACCATGCTCTTT